GGGAGTCCTCGCCCAGCGCCGCCTGCGCGAACCGCTTCACGAAGGCCTTGGCCCGCAGGAAGCCCTCCGGGGTGGTGCCCGCCGAGCCAGCCAGCAGGAAGAGGACGTCGACGCGGCACTCCAGGCTCAGCTTCGGGGCTGCCGGGTTCACAGTGGCCGTCACGCCGCGGAGCACGCAGACCCCCGTCCCACCCGGGGCACCCAACCGCCACACGGGGCAGGAGGGGGCCGAGACACTGAAGCTACGAGGCCTGATGCCAGGGCACATGTCGCAGAGTTAGGGCCGGACACACAGCTCCCTGGCTCCCACCAAACGTCTCCATCTCACTATTTCAAACGAAAAATATAATCTATAACTTTTCCCATGACGGGTAGTGCACCTTGTGTCCTGCTGGAGAACTCTGTCTACCCCAAGAGCATGAAGATACACTCCTGTGTTTTCTTCCAGAAGCTGCACGACTTTGCTTTTTACATTTAAATCTATTCTCCATCTGGAACTGATGTTTAGCTTAGGAGGTCGGGAGTCAAGATTTCTTTCTTTCCCCGTAAGACTCCAACTGACTCAGCACTCCAGTTTTTTAAGTTAATATTTCACACGTCCTGTTCTCTGTAAAGTCAAGCATTGTGCTAAGCACTTTATGTACATAATCTTATTTCAAACTCTCATAACCGTAGAGGGAAAAGCCAATTATGAGCTTAATATTTTGGTTTTAAAACCGAAAGTGGTTGAGGCTCTGCCCAGAACCAGAACCCAGTTGGGCTGGCTCCAGCCTGAAAGATGCTCGGAGATCAAGCAACAGCCATTCTAAAGCTAGGAAGCCAGGAGCCGTGTCCGACCCAGCCCTCCACCACCTGAGGTACTTTAGTGTATCACTTGAGCAGCAGGTGGCACTAACTCAAGGGCCAGCTCCTACCTAGTAGCTAAAAGGGTGGCAGATGAGAAGCAGGAGCCTGGGCTCCCCTGCCCCTGGACGGTCAGAGTCTGGGAGGTTCCATGCACACGTACCGCAGTCAGCCTCCCCTCCGAAGGCTGGCGGGCAGAGGCAGTGGTACCTGTCCAGTCCTTCTGGAACACATGTGCCTCCATTCTGGCAGGGCTGGGAGTCACAGGGGCCTGTCAAAGAGATGTCCATTAACAGCCTGGCACATAAGCCCAGAGGCATGCAGGGGTTTGGCCACCCTGTCCCATCAGGCCCCTCGTTTCCCCAGATGCACAGGAAATTAGTCTCAACACCTGTAGCGAAGTGGGAAAGAAAAGCAAGTGAACTTCGTAAGGCAGGGGCAGTGTCGGGGTGGTAACGGACACTCAGCGGTGGGCTCACTAAGGCCCCCTGTGTGAGTTACAGGCTCACTCAGGGATATGCCAGTGGGATCTGGCTCCTGGCTCTGATACTGGGGTCATGTGTTATGGATGTCCCCTGCCCCCAATTTATATGTAGGAGTCCAAACCCTCAATACCTTAAAAATGTTAATATATTATTACTTGGTGGTCACATCATTGTAATTAAAGTGTTGTACTTTTTGAAGGCAGGAATTACTGAGGCTAACTCTGGGCACCTAGGCCTGTGGTTCTGTTAGCTGGAGTTCCATAGAAACAACTGGGGGCTCGTTAACAGCACCAACGGGCCTTCACTGAGCAGCTACTCTGGGCCACGTACTGTGCAAAGCGCTCCACACACACGATCTCACTTCACTGACAAACCGGATGAGGCAGATACTTCCTCACAGACGAGGAAGGTGAAACTCAGTGAACAGAAGTCACGTGCTGACCTGTAGGTCAGAGACTTGGGAAGGGGCAGAGCTGGGGGTTCCAATTCTGGTTCCAAAACTGTAAGTCCTGGAGCTTTCATTTCTGAGCAGAAACAGTCCCACTTTCTGTTCCTCCTATGGGTCAGAGGCCAGCAGTGCTGCAACTTTAAAATGAGATGCCAGGAGGATCACCAAACCCTGGGTCAGAAGCACCGTCCTACCTGCACGTGAAGTCTTTGGCTCTGCTTTCAGGGCTCGGGCTACCCACCTCCTCCAGAGTAGCACACCCACAGAAAGAAGCACTGATGCCAACACACTCCAGTGCGATTTCTGGGCTCCTGGGTCAGTGGGACACACTAGACCCGTGGTGGGGGCAGCAGTGAGGGCCCGCTGGGGAGCCAGGCTGAAGGATCTTAAGGGTGTTGAAAGGCTTCTTGTTTGCTTGGGACTTTGCAGCTGATGAAGCACTTTGGTGGGCATTACCCACCGAATCTTCACCAGGATCCCATGTGTGATACCCCCCATCATCCAGAGCAAGGAAATGGGGGTTCCAGACATGGGGCAAACGTTACCCCCATTTTACAGAGGAGGAAAGTGAGGCTTGGGTATCTTGCCCTGGGTTCAGTGCTGGAGGTAAGGCTTTCTGTCTGCAAAGCTGGTGCTTGGAGCACGCCCCTCTCTGCCTTTTGTCAGTGCAAGGGGCTCTGGTTAAGGAAGAAATTCCAAAGCCTTCACTCCTCCTCAGTGAAGAAATACCACTGAACAAGGGAGGCATGAGTATGGTGTGAGCATGTCCCTCTGCCCGGGAGCTGGGTCCAACCCCAGTCTCTGCCCTAGGAGTGTAAATGCCCCTTTGGGAGCCAGTCCCAGGGCCAGAAAGAAAAGAAGAATCCAAGAGGCAGGCTGTACCTGGACAAATGGTCCTGTGGCAGGTAGCAGGGTGGGTTAAGAACACTCTCTTCCAGCTACAATCCAAGGAGACAAATGGTAGAGATCAAAGGTTGAACAGGAGAGGCTATTTAAAACACAAAAAGCTCCAATATATAGAAAATAGATAAACAAGTTTATGCTGTATAGCACAGGGAACCATATTCAGTATCTTGTAGTAACTTATGGTGAAAAAGAATATGAAAACGAATATATGTTCCTATATGACTGAGGTATTGTGCTGTACACCAGAAATTAACATAATATCAACTGACTATACTCCAATAAAAATATAAAAAAAAACCCCACTAAAAGCTGACAGAAGATGCCAATGCAGAAGAAGCAAGTCAAGACTTGTTTTCTTCCTTGATTCCACCCCAACTTTTATATGCATAGAGTATGAAATGTTTCAAACTCCTCAAGGATAATTTTTTTTAAAAAAGGATAATGTAAGTTGGCTATCATGTCAGAAGTCAGAGCGATCTGTGTTCAGTGCTCTGAATTACGGGAAAGCTTTCTATTACAAGTCACTTTCTGGGGCCAGCACAAGGTAGGAGGGGGTAGAAAATCTTGGGATCAAGCAACTGGATTCTGGCTATGTGGCCCCAGGCAAGTTACCTTCCCTCTCTGGTCTTCAGTTCCCTCTTTTATACAGTAACTCGATCTGTCGTTTTCAACTGCGTTCCTTGGAGCCTCCGTGGAGAGGGAAAGGGACCATGTGTCCAGAGCCCCCCAGTGCCACAGCCCCGCCCCTCCCCCGAAAGGTGCTAGTTCCAGCCTGCACCGCAAGTGTTCCTACGAGGCTCTTCAGCTCAGGAGGATTTGCAAACCACGGGTCTCCGTGACCTCTGAGGTCTGTTTGAGTGCTAACATTCAGTGACAACACAGGGGCCACCGTTCCTGTGCTGGCTTCCAGGCTCCAGGTGTCCCCACCATTACCTCAAGTCCACAGCTACCTGGAGAGACAATAATCTCCTCTTCCAGATGGAAAAATGGGTTCAGAGGGCTGAATTCAGTTGCCCGAAGTCACATGGTTATCGGAGCACTGCAGATCTGGGATCCAAACTCCACCGTCTGAGTCCAAAGCCCACACATTCTGCCCCCTGGCCTCCCCTCCCCACTCTCCTGAGTCTGGGGGACGACGGGCCGGCCGCAGCATGAGGGGCTCCCCATCCCTCAGGCGGAAAGCCCTCCTCTTGGCTGGCAGCAGCTCCAGGGGTGGCCTCATCTAAAGAGATCCTCTTGGGGCCTTGACAACAAAGCTCTCTAAAACTTTCCAAAGAGGGCTTCTCCCAGCGAGATCCAGCCCAAGGCCGCCCGCCTGCGGGGCGCGCTAACTGGGCTCACCTCTAGGGCATGGTCTTTCCTGAGGCAAAACATCCCCTTGGGAGAAAAGCCAAGTCAATTACAAACCAAGAAGTTGCTGAAATCAAAACTCTGCCTAGCTGCCAGCTCCTTAAAGAGAAATCTCCCTGTCCTTGTCTACTCCTAGTGACCTCATAAAATCACAGGTCCCAGCCCAGAAAGCACCACTGGCCCTGCCCCTTGGCGCCTGGGTCTGCTCTGGGGGCTGGCGTTGTTGAGCAGACCCTGTCCACAGGCCTTCACCTGGACCTATCCTTGCCTCATCCCTCCCCCGCCTCAGGTCCAGACTCGGATGCCACATTCTCTGCAAGGCCTTCCCTGCCCACCCTAATTAAAACTACAACCCCGCCCCAACCACTACTCACCCCGCCCTGTCCCACCCCCACGGTCTCCCCGCATAGCACTTTCCACCCCCAATAGTTCACTTAGGCATTGTGTTTACTGCCGCCTCCTGCTCACGAGGGCACATGTTTCTAAGATGCTCATGCCGATTCCCCAGGACCTGGGACAGTGCTGGGAGCTTAGGAGAGCCTCTGAGAGTTATTTCTTGAACGAGGGGGTAGATGACAAGCCTACTGTACGCATTATTCTAGGGTCCTGCAAATAGCAGTATTTCTACATGTTAACTCGCTGTGTGCTCCTGAACTCCTCTCGGGCAGGTCCTGTTACCACCTGCCGCCCCTTTCCGAATGTAGAAGCAGACAGTGGGAGGTTCCCAGCTCATTAGTGGTGATGCCTCCAGAGTCTGAGCACGAGGCCCAGGAGGTGTACTCCCTACCCACCAGCCATTCCCGGGGCTCCCGGGTCTGAATGCCTCTGCCTACCGCCACCCGGTTCCTGCATCTTTCAAGACTGTCCAATCGGCTCCTTCTCCATGACCTGCGGGGAGGACAGGCCCCACCCCAGCACCTGGGAGGCTCTCTCTGGACCATGAGCTTTTTGTGGGCAGCCACCTTCTTACGGCACACTGCCTGGCTCAGAGTGGTCACGTAGACATGGTCCCTGGGGAATGAGGAACCTGCCTCCTTTCACTTGAAAGCTCGGGTTTCAGAAGAGAGCCTCCAGTGGCCTCTGACACGGCACGAGGCCCCACTTCCTCTGATCCACGTGCAGGGCGCAGCCCTTCCTGCCAAGATGGCATCTGGACTCTGTCATCGGCCCAGCACGGCCCTCGTGGCTTCTCGGCCAATCCATCTCATGGCTGTGTGAATGCTCTGACCTCATCGCTGAGGCCAGGCCAAGGGGCTAAGATGTAGCTGGTTCAAATACTACCCTGGCTCTCCAGAAAGCACGAGAGGGCGAGCACACAAGTTGCTGACCAGGTGTAAAATGGAAAGTGGTCCAGATAAAGTGCCGAGGGTCAGTGTGGGGATTTGCAAGGGAGTGGCTGACAGCAGGGCAGCAGGTGCCCTCGCATGCCTGAGCTCCAGTCCTGAAGAACCCAGCATCCCCCAGGGCTTCCACAAGTGGAATTTGGCCTCTTGCCACACTCAGCCTCCATAAATGTGGAAACTGGTTCTCAGAGGAACCAGAGTACCTGACCACTATCCCAAGTCCAGACCACTGCCCAACTGGATCAGTTCTTGGCTGACTTACTAGGCTTCCAGAATGGCTGGGACCCCGCCCCCCACCCCGGGCACGTGGGCCGTATGTCTACAAGACTCTGACACTGGGTAGCTGTGATCCTGCCTGTGTCCCCAGAGCTCTGTCCCTGGCTCCCTCTCAGGTCTCCTCCAATCCCTGTCGCACGCTCCACCGTCAAGGCTCCAGAGAGCTGTTCTCCCTGCAGCTAGTGAGCGCTCAGACACGCCCTCCCAGGCTGTGCCCTTAGGCTCTGATCCCAGACCTTACGGACAAACCTGGAGAAGGGACACAGCGCAGCCAGCACGGCGTCGGTCCCCCGAGATCCTCTCCAGCATGGGGCGTGGCCGACAAGCTCCTTGACTGTCTCCAGTGTCTTGCGCCGACAAGGGTGAGGCTGGACCTTGCAGTCTGTGTCCACAGTGCACAACCGACGGGGAAGGCAGGCTTACACCTCCTTCCGCAGCCGTAGTTCCACCACCCTCAGCCCTGGCTCTTTTGGGGCACAGCACACTGGGGCAGCCAGGCTCAGAGCATCTCTTCTGCACAGCCCCCACCCACACAGCTCTTCCATCCTGTGCACAGATAATACACTGCACTCCAGCTCCAGGATGGACCCTGACAAAGTCTACGAATACAAGGATCTCACCCCCAAATGAAGCTTCCCTGTGCTGACCATGGCAGGGGAGCTGGCTCTTCCTCCCGAGCAGGGGACAAGCATGAGGGCCCTGCCAGATCTGGGTCCCAAGCCCTGAGCCTCTCTACCCAGCAACAAGCTCAGAATTCCCAGCCAAAAAACCCACAAGGGCCCAGCCCAGCAAGGCTGAAGAGAGCAAAGTGCCCCAGGGCCGAAGCTCCTGGGCCCCATTCCTTGTGCCCTCCCTCCCTAGGGAGCCTCCTGAGTCCTGACCCCAGGCCTCCGGGAACCCTCCCCAGCCCACACCCAACTTCCATATGGGCAAGGCCACTCCTTCCCAGACAGGAAGGCCTTGCTTACCTGGAGAGGTGATGGTGCAGATGGCAGAGCCACTGAGGGTGCTGAAGAGGCCGTTGGCAGCATCCTCCACCTGCTCGGCCATCAGTATGTGCTGCTCCCATGGCTCACTGGCCAGTGTGTGCAGCTCCTCCCACCTGTGCCCCGGCCCCCAGCAGAGAAGTTACAATGACTGGTCACTCCGCACCCAACCTCCTCCTGCCCACCAGTCTCCTGGACCCTGGGCTCCTGGTGGACAGCACCACCACCCACTGACGCAGGAGCCACTTCGCTGCAACCTCAACCATCTAGGATGCATGTAAGGTGCAGAAGTAACCCAGAGAAAGACCTCAGTAATGCTCAGCTGTGGGTCAGAATGTGCATGTGCTACAGTCCATGAACTTCCTCAGAGGGAGTTATCCTGACAGAGTCAGTCATCTGGTTTTGTAACCCGTAACTGATGAGAAAAATGTAAGAAAGAAAATGAAGGAAAGTGGTTCTGGGTGACAGCAACAGAAGAGCAAACAGGTATAGCTAGTAACAGGGGAAAAAAATGCTAAAGAATTATAAACAGTGGCCATGAGAATTCACAGGCCAGCAATGTGAGGCTGTGTACTTAGACAGCCAGAGGGCAATGTTAGTGCCCAGAACAGAAATGATGTGTGGGATCATGACCCTAAGGCATGAACAAAGAGTTATATGACATTGGCAAACCTGTTTTAAGAAGACAAGGTAGTCAGTAGCGCATTTAGAAGCCATCAAGAATTCATCAAAACAGACCAAGATCTGGCAACATGGCAAAAACCTCATTTATCTCAAACCTCACTTAAGTAAAACTCTCCATTTTCCTCTGAAGCCACAGAAACCAGACATTTCCCCCAGTACCTAGGAGAGCGCCTGGCACACAGAAGGGGCTTCTCAGTTCTGGCCTCACATCAGCATTGAGTGAGCAGCTCTGCGGGGGCCCACCCTTAGTTCCCCCAGCCCCCAAACAGACCTTAAAAGCTCCCTCGGTAATTTAGGTGCTCAGCCAGAGCTGAGAGTCATCAGAGAAGGAGCGCCATCTACAGGACAAGGGGGGAAGAGTCTGAAGCAGCATCCGTCCTTCATCTCACACAGAGCCTCGCGCCGCCCACAGCAGCGGTTCTCAGACTTTGGCGGGCATCAGAATCACCGAGGGCCAGAAAAACCACAGATTCTGGCTCCTTGCCCCAGAGTTTTGGATTCAATGGGGTGGGGCCCGAGTTTGTACGTTTCTAACAAGCTCCCAGGGGATCTGACACTGCCAGTCCAGGAAACACACCTGGAGAACCGCTGTCAACAGTGAGCCAGTCTTTTGCTAGGCGTTGGGGGTGGGGGTCTGGTGGGCCTAGGAGCCTGGCAGGCTTCCTCAGAGGTTTCCTGTGTCTGCAGCTTAGGCCTTCAGATCTGAGTAACGCCCCCTCTCCTGGCAATGGCTTCTTGACTTCTCTAAGCCAGAGATACTCAACGTATGGTCTGTGGGTCATTACAGGTCTCCAAACTGTTTCACCCTGGTCCAGATTCCAATAAACACAGACACCAAGCATTTAGAAACTTAACTGTACGGCAACTTGACAGTCATTTTTTGTCTGTTGGGTCAAGTAATAAGCATCTGAACTCCTATTCTGTCTTTGTTTTTATTTCATTTTTCTAGCAATTCATTTTTATTGTATTTTTGTTAAGTATCAGTCTATGATGGACTAGAAAACAAAACAAACTGGACCTTCACCACAGATGGTTTGAGAAGCGCTACTCCAGCGAGCAGCTGAAGAAGCCAGCCCGGGACGGGCCAGTATTTACACCCTGTGGGAGACCCCATCCTCAGTGACCAACCTTTGGGCAACTACTATGGGCAAGGTTCTCTATTCGGCATTGCCTGGGGACAAGGGCTGTCAGGGAACCAGGAGGTCACATCCCCTCTCCTCTCTCAAGGGGTTTACGTTCCTTGTATCTGAGGACACAAAAAGAGCCAACGACAAGGCAGCTTGTGTGAAAACACCAGCTTATTGGCCAGGACAACGATGATGGTGGTGGCAGCGGTCATCATCGCCACCAGGAGACGGCACAATCCAGGGCAGCCCCAGGTACCTGCAACCTGTCTCCGTCTTTCTTTTCCCTCTTTCTGACCTGCACACACGCAGGTCCTCGGTCATCCTCTCACTCTGCGTTCACGCTCTAGGTCATCTTACTTAGGTTTTAAGTATCATCCTCGATCTGAATCTTGACGCCTGTCCTCTCTCCTAGGCTCCAGACTCTTACATGCAGCTCTCTACTTAGCTTCTCCACTTACATGACCCACAAGCCTCTCAGCCTCGACCTGCCTGAAACAGAACTCAATTTCCCTTCTTCCTTTCCCAGTCTTTCCCATTTCAGCAAATAGCACCTCCATTCACGACGGGGCTCAGGCCAGAATCCTGGATTCTTCTCTCACACCCCCACATCCAATGCACCAGTCACTCCGCTGCTCTGCCTTCAAAGTGTATCCTAAGTCCAGTTACTCCTCAGCAGGGCCACAGTTGCTTCCCTACTGCAAACCACCGTTACTTTGCATGTGAGCTGTTCTGAAGGCTTCCTAACTAAATCCCCCACTTCCCCTGTTATTACTTCTCCCTCTGGCCCACCCACCGTTCAGGGTGATCTTCTAAAAATGTAGGCCAATTCATGTAATTTTCCTGCTCAAAACCCTCCAAAGACTTCCCAGACTACTCATAACAAACTTCAAAGTCTTTATACTAACCCACAAAGTCTCCAGGCCTGACTCTTGCCCATCTCTTCTGCCTCATTTCTTGTAATTCACCCCTTGCTTGCCGGGCTCCAGCCCCTCCCTGACTGTCTTGATGTTTCTATACCACACTACACTAGCTACTGCCTCAGGGCCTTTGCACTTGCCATCTGCTTGTCTTGCCTTCTCTTTTCCTTGATATTTGGAAGGCTTGTTCCTCACTTCACTCAAGTTTCTGCTCAGAAAATCAACTTAGAGGAGCCTTGCCAAATCCAAAACAGCTATCCTCTTCTGTAACCTCTTACCTACTTTATTTTTCTCCTTTGCATTTTATTTCCACCTGAAATTGTATAACTTTTGTTCATTCACTTGTTTATTATCTAGTTCCTTTCTTAGAATGGAAGCTCCATGAAAGCAGGGACTTTGTATTGTTGTCTCCACATCCTGAGAACCTAGAATAGTTTGGCACAAGGAAGACAACCTACATCTATTGATTGAGAGAATGAATAAAGTACAGTCGGCCTTCCATATCCATAGGTTCCTCAGCCACACACTCAACCAACTGCAGATCTTGTGCTATGTTTATGATCCGTGGATATGGGACGGCTGAGTAAAGGACTTGAGCATTTGTGGATTTTGATATCCTGGGAGGGAGGTTCTGGGACCAATCCCCCATGAATACTGAGGGGTGACTGTACTAAAATTAAGGAGGAGATTTCTATGTATAGGCACAGTGCCCAAAGTCATTTTACTTGACACCCATAAGAACTGGAGGTCCATAGAGATCATCTCCATATTTACGGCTGAGATCACTGGGGACCTGTGCCCTCCCCTTCTTGGAAGGCACATTCTACCATCTAGAGAAACGTGGTTGGAGGAGGCAGCCAGGCCCAGACACCCACTCTCCTGGATTCAGGAGCGAACCTGTGACTCAGGCTAGTCAGAACCCTTTTTTGGATCATTCAACTTGAAACGAGAAATGAGTCTTTTCCCTCCAGGTGGGACTGGGAAGATGTGAACTGGGGCACTGCCCACATCCACCATCCCAGCTTCCGGAGAGAACCAGGCTAAGCGAACAGCAGAGATGATCGGACCCTGGGACGTCAAGAATCTTACTGGCACTGAAGCCTCTGACCCACCCAGTGCAGTCAGGGGAGTTCATGAATTTCAGTTTCTGCATGAATAAATTTAAGGCACATTTCCAGCACTTGAAACCAAGTGTTCAGACTAAATAAAAGACGAAGCAAACACGCTCAGACTTCCAAAGACTTGGAGATCCCCATGTGCCGACAACAGTACCTCAAAGTGAGGAAAAGACAGATCCCAGAAGGGCCAGGATGGTTTCCCCAGCTCCCCTCCTTTCCCATGGCTGTGAAGTCCCCAGGCTGATCGAGAGAGTGACCCAGGGTGGCGAAATCTCTTACCTCGGGAAGCGGACCCCCACGGCAAACACAGCGATGCCCCTCTGCTTCAGCTGCTTGGCTGGCAGGGCCACGTGCCCTTGGGACCTCCCGTCAGTGACGATGACCAGGACCTGGGGCACAGAGGCATTTCTGCCCCCAGGGAACCCTTTGCGCAGGAGGTATTTCAAAGCGTGGCCTGTCTCTGTGCGCCCTCCTCTGAACTCACCCAGAAGGAAAAGAGAAAGAAAAAGTCAGCGACCCAGAGGTGAAGCTGAAATGAGAGCTTTCTCCCAGCAGAGGCTCAAAGGGACAATTCTAGCATGAGATATACACGTCCTCACTATCTAAAACCACAACCATGATGAAGAGGAATAACCTCCCTGGACTTAGTATTTATTAACCCATTTCTGTTACGTTGTATAATGTCATTCTTCGTTGTTTATGCGTTCACTTTCTCTTCCCACTGATGGCTCTGGGGACAATTCTCACTGTTTGTCTAACACCCACCTCCCATCTCTACCAGGCCCTTCTTGTTACGCCTCAACGTCTCCTTGGGGTGGAAAAGCAGACAACAGAGGTTAGTAAGAATCCGTGAGCATAAAGGACGGAGCTCTGATGCCAGGATCTGATGAGGATCGATTCCATGATCAGGCCTTTCCGGCCCACTTCCAAGTTCAGCATTGAGCACTGGAAGACTGAATCCTCTGACTACTTTCAGATCAGGGCAGGTTACAAACATCCCACGTCATCAGGACGCTAAGATTCTCTAATCCTCACAGCCCAGTTGTGGAATCCCAGCTCAGAATCCCTACTAAATCTCCCCAGAGGAGGCTCGTGTACACGTCCTCAGAAGGTGGACTGCCAGCTCCGAGCATCAACTGGGCAGAAAGTAATGACTCACTAAAATACACATCTTAGGTAAAACCTTTCGGTGGATGGTAATAGATGAGGAATCCCCTGCTCAGAGACCAGTGATACTAACTGCTAACATTTACTGTGCACTTACCACGTGCGGGGTGTCACTGTGCTAAGCGTGTGTGTGTGTGTGAAGGCGCTTGCTCATACAATTCTCACCACGGCTCTGAGATCAGGGAGTTCAGAAAAAGGCCTTATCTCAGGTCACACAGCTCACAGGTGGTGGAGGCAGAACTTGAACCCTGGATCCTTCCAGAGCCCAAGTTCTTAACCATCAGGTTAAATAACCAGTCAAGTCACCTGCCTCTCACCTGGCTAGCAGAGGTCAAAACTGGAGTTTAAAACCAGTCAGGCTAATCCCAAAGCCAATGGTCACTCCTCTCCAGGGGTTGGCAAATTACAGCCTGTGGCCAAATGGGCATGGAAAACGGGCACCCGTGCATTTGTGTGCTATCTGTGCAGAGCCCACGTGGCCGGCAAAGCTGAAAATATTTACTCTATGGCTCTTTACTGAAAAGGTCTGCTGATTCCTACTTTGTACTGTTCTGCCTAAATGGTCACAAAACTTCTCCCCCAAAGCCAGGAGCTCCCTGTGCCCTCCCCCTGGCAATGCTCCCCTCGAGCCTCTGGCTGTGGCCCTGCATCCTTAGTTTCTCAGCCAGACTGCTTTCTCTCCTCAAAACACAGCCCACCCCCTCTGCCATCTGATCATCACTTCTTTTCCTGTACCCTCAAAGCTTCAGGACTGGGGTGGGGGGGAGAAGCACTTCTCTGAAATTCTGTTCTCATTTTGCAAATAAGTCCTGGGCCCTGCTCTTCATAGCCCACCAGCCTGTGGTTGGAGATTAATTAAATTTCAAGGACACAAGAGCCCAGGCCACAGCTCCACTGGCCTGCAGGGCGTCCATGCTCCACATGGCTCAGCACACAAATGCATGTGCCGTCCACCCTCTCCACCTAACCTGCTGGCTTCTGACTCAGCCGACCAAGCTCAGCGGAGATTCCTGACAGCTTCTGAACCCTGGGAAATGAGAAGAAACGCTGCTACCTCCACTCATCCCGTGGAATATTTCTAGGTGAGTCTGTTCTGACCTCAGCATCTGGCTCCAGACTAGGAGGTCTGGGGCCAGAGTCTAAGATTTTTCTCATTTCTCTCCAATAGGACTGAACTAGGTAGAAAGAGGTTCACAGATGGATGGCTGTTTACGATAGCAGTGCATGGACTGATTAAGGAAAGGGGCACAGATATGAGGCCCGTGATACACTGGGCAGCTGAGCTTGGCAAAGTTATCTAACCTGAGACTCTGTTTCCTTCCCTGTTAAAGTTGGGAAAATAACAGTATTATTTGAGGATTAAATTTGTGCCCAGTGCGCGCTCCATCAGTGGTAGTTATAATGAACCAACTAGCAGCTTATTCTAAGTTCATCTTTTGAATTAGTCTCAAGTTCTAGTTATAAAAATCCCTCAAGAGACTTAATAATGTGGATTCTTAGATTCCATCCTTCCAGAGTCCCAGTTGGTAGATGTGTGACCAGACTTGAGAATCTACAGTTTAAACCCACCTCCTCTTCCCCTACCCTCAGTGATTCTGATGCAGGCAGTGCAGGCAACAGACTTTGAAAAATAATTCCTAAGAAAGCTCACTGCGGGTTCAGGGATGCTGATGACAGGAGTTTTTGTTGGTAGTGGTTTTGGCAATGGACAGAAATCCTGGAATCAACCTAAATGCGTCCTTTTAGGGGATGATTTAATATATGGTGATAGCTCAATTCATTTGGATTATTACATAACCATTAAAAAGGATCAACATGCAACATAATGCAGCTTTTATGAAAAATACATACTAAATAATATTAAGTTAAAGACAGCAAAGTGCTTTGTAATTTTAACTATTCTAAAAGCTATTTTTAAATGTTACTATGGTTTTAAAGAGGCCAGAGATGGCTATAAAAGGCTCTGTGCTAATGTAAAGCAGTAACCTATTTCTGTACAGCTATCTAAATACAGTACAATTCTGATAAAGCTACAGGCAGGGTCCAAAACCTTCAATCCCAGAAAGCTCAAGAGTTGTGCTGTTGTGAAGTTAATGAGATGATGGAACCAGCTTGCACAGCCCCCTGGCCAAGGTTCTAGGCATTTGGGAGTCAATGGCTGACCATGTTTGATCTGATTTTATGTTATCGTGGGGTGCAAGACTGGAAGGGTTGGTTGTAATATTCTTTACATTTATTACAATGTAGCAATATCGTGATTGTCACGGTGGTTTCTTAGCCATTTTAAAACACGCTTTTGGGGGACTGCCTTGGTCTGGAAAGGCAAGTGTTCTGGGTTTTGGACAGAGCTGTGCTAATCAGTCCAGAATTTAAAATTACACTGAAGGCAAAGGGCAAAGAGTCCTGGGGAGGTCAACACTCCCATTTGGCCAACATTCCTCTGTTCTGGATAATAAGGATGTCTTAACGCTCAGTGTCCTCAGTGACCCTGCAACCGTGGCCAGAAAACCAGTTACTGCCTCCTTGCTTTGTCTGCTGTCTCTTACAATCACCCTGGGATACACAAGTGGTCGCCATTCACATCCCCAAGGAAGAGCTGACCTTGTTCAGACACATAAAGAGGCGTCTTTCTACATCCCCAGTGTCCTCATCCGGCACGATCTCAATGCGTCTCTGCATTTCATAGGTCATGAATACTACTCTCCAGCCCTTAGCTGTGACTTTCAACCCAGCTGAGAAGGGGCTCAACTAATTACTTCGGGGGTGAGGGTGGGGAGAGTGGGACAGGACAGTCCCACGGGGTCTAATGGATGAGCACTGTGACCCTGTGGTTTTGGCCAAGTCACCTGCTCCTTCTCAACCTCGGTATCCCCCTCCATGAAATAAGGGGTTGGAAGAGATACTAGGTGATTTCCAAAGTGCCTGTTAGTACCAATTCACTGCTGCTGGCTTAGTTTTTCACATGAGAGGAGGGTTGAGTTATCTGAGTCAAAATCTTCCAGTTTTTGACTTTCAGTCTTAAATTTAAGCCAGTAGGTTACTTTCTCTCCTGCAAATGTTTGTGTGCATATAATGGTTTTTTCTTTAACAATAAATCAATGATATAATTCATATACCATAAAATTCAACATTTTAAAGTATACAATTCAGTGGGTTTTAGTATAATTTGGTTGTACAACCATCACCACTAAGTCCAAAATATTTTCATCACCCCAAAAAGAAGCCGTTAGCAGTCACTCCCCATATCCTCCGGCAATGACTAATCTACTTTGTCTCCACAGATTTGCCTATTTCAGTCTATTTCGTAGAAACAAAAATCATACGGTATGTGGGCTTTTGTCTGGTTTCTTTCACTTAGCATGTTTTCAAGGTCTATCCATGTTGTAACATGAATCATATCATTATTCCTTTTCATGGCTGAATAATAGCCCACTGCATGGATATATCATATTTTATTTAAATCCCTATTTCAAAAGATTGAATATATTTGACATATACCATTGTGTAAATCTGAGGTGTACAATGTGTTACTTTTACATCTTTATCTACCATAATATTGCCATTAGCAATTGCCTTTAGCAATCGCCATTGTAGCAATATTTATCACATTACATTTTTTTTGTTATTGCTTCCATGAATTCTTCATATATTTTGGATATTAGCCCCTTACTTAATATATGGTTTACAAAAATTTTCAGTTCTGCAGGCTGCCTTTTCATTTTGTTGTTTCTTTCGCTGTGCATGACTTTTGAGTGTGATGCAGTCTTATCTGTGTATTTTTGCTTTGATGGATAAATTACATTTTGTTGACCCATTCATCCACTGGGCTTTTAGTTTCCATTTTTTGGCTATTATAAATAACGCTACTGTGAACATGAGTGTACAAGGTTTTGTGGGGGTATATGTCTTCAATCCTCTTGGCGTGAAGCTGCTAGGACATGTGATAACTCTAACATGTTGAGGAACTGCCCAACTGTTTCCCAAAGTGGCTGCACCATTTTACAATCCTACCAACAGTATACGAGGGCTCAAATTTCTCCACATCCCTGCCAACACTCATTACTGTCTGTCTCTCATTTTAGCCTTCTTAGTGTGTGTGAAATGGTATCTCATTATGGTTTTGATCTGCCTTTCCTTAATGGCTAATGATGTTGAGCATCTTCTCATGTGCTTATTGGCCACTTATACATGTTGTCTGAGTAAAAGTCTATTCACCAGATTTCTTATTAGATGATGAAAAAGTTCTAAAATTAGATTATGGTAACAGTTGCATAACCCTGAAAATGTACTCAAAACCATTGAATTGTACAGTTTAAATGTGGGAATTTTACGGTATTTAAATTATATCTCAATAAAGCTGCTTTAAAAAAATGAGTGTATATGACACTCTGAGGGCAGGGAGGCAGTGGGGAGAGACCTTTCAAAAGTGCAGATTCTTGGTATCACTGCCCAGGGTGATCCAGCAGCCGTCGGAGGCAGCCCAGGCACCTGCACTTTGACATACTCCCTAGGCAATTCCGACCCAGACCATCACTGAGGACCTCACTTTGACAAGTACTGCTCTGTGTGTCTGGGCCCCAGAAATGGCAGCGAGGCCACCTCTGTTCTCTACAGGAAACATTCCTGGAGGCCCCAAGGTTAGAAGGCTCCAAGGGGACACAGGAAGGTCAGTGTACACTAACACCATTTAAAAAAAAATTAATGTCCTTTTCCCTTTGAACTTTCTTGTATTTGACTTGCCTCTTATTCTGTTTACGGTACTCAAGGGCAGAGGAAAGGGCTGGGATAAACAGCCTAAGATTAAAGTCATTGCGGGGGGGGGGGGTCTCTGGAACGTGGGGGCCCGCAAAGTTCCTGCTGTGTCCAGTGTGGGGATTCAGGCTTATTGAGAGCACTGGGGGCTTACAGAGGCCTGAGTCTGATAAAAGACCTCAGAGCTTAAGGGCATTTGCAAGTAGAAGTGACAGCTGTAAATGGCTGGGACCATGGACTTGAGTGGGACTTCAGCAGACACTAGGGGAAGGGAAAGCAGAGATCAAAGAGGATCTGGAGATCAGAGCGGCAAGTGGCAAGTAAAGGCATTCTTCTGTGAGCGCTTGTGAAGAACACTGTGTATGTGCGGGTGTGTATATACATATATAGGCACGTGTATAACTCATTCATATCCATACAGCTGTAAATGTAATACATATATAAAATATTTATTCACAAAATACATGTATACACATATATATATGTGCATGTACACACATCAGCTGACTTGTGATGTGAGTAAAATTTTGACCCACCATGTACATATATTTATAGGATGTGTATGTGCACGAGCAAATAAACAGCTATTTATCATTCTGAAAGCACTCTCAGTAACAGAGGAGCACTGACTCTTTTTAGATCACAAAAATGAGGCTTGGAGAAGTGTGGTGAACCACCCTGGCTGCGCGGTCACCGGGGACAGTGCTGGGAGAAGGACCCAGTGTTCTCCCTTCCACCCACCTCATGCTCTTAACCTGTCTCCACCCTCACTAGCCCTTTCTCCCAGGTAACTGACACAATAACAGCAATTTAAAAAAAACCTGCATTTAAGTTCCCACCTGGGACATTGTCATGTAAATGATAAGGGGCAGCCTTGAGAAGGGAATTCACGTTACCCACAGCCCTCTCTCCTTCTCTGAGGTCAAGAGCCGGGCCAACCCTTCAAGGGCGATTCTGAGAGAAGCTAGCTTCATCCTAACCATGGCAGCATCTGGTCACACTTACTTGAAAACCATCCCCTTGATTTTGGCCTTCACTTCCTGTTGGGTTGAAAATGCATCCAAGGGGAATTCCAGACGAGGAGCAGAACTGAACTGGACAGCTCCCACCCTGACCTGCGAGGGGAGACAGAGGGCCCAGGGGCCAAGAGCAGGGTCAAGTCACAAACATCCCTAAGAGGAAAGAAGGGACGAGAAAGGTTAAGGCCCCTGCTTCCTGCCCACTCCCAAACACCAGTGCTGGAGCCTTCTCTCATGTCCCGAAAAGAAGGTTCCAGAGACTCAGTGGAGAATCTGGAAGGGGACTGTCACATCTGCCTGTATTCTGCACTGACTACCACCAACTCCACCACCATCCTGACAGCTCTCTGGGCTGAGCTGTGAGTGCTTTAGGGGTCTCTGCTCACACTTACTGCCTGCCTCCCCGGTGTAGGCACTGTTTTAAGCCATCTCAACAATTATCTCATTTAATCCACAGAGCACTCTTCATACCCACATTACTGCTGGAGAAAGTAAAACAGAGGCTACAGACCCGGCCCAGGGCTAGTAAGGAAGGGACTTGGTGGCTGGGATCCTCACTAAGGCTCAGTGATGCTGCTTCCCTTCTCAGCAGGCCTTCAGCAAACCACCCGCTCCCACCCTCCCCGGGATGCCACAGACACTAACCACAGCCACCATCACTGGTGGCTCATCACCTGCCGCAGCCACCACACACCCACCCTTCGTTGAGGGGATCAGCCCTTCCAGGCCTGCTCCTGCCAAGCTAGGGAAGGACCCGATCTCCAGACCGGAGTCAGACTGGGGGACAAGCAGCACCCTCATCTGAGACAAGCAACACTGGAGCTGGAGTTCCTCGGCAGTGGAGAGAATAAGAGCCACCAGTGGTCCCAGGTCTTGCATCTTAATGCATGAGACCACGTGAGAAAACCCAGTGCCTTGCAAAACTGGAGAAGGGAGATGGAGTCAAGTCACTCTCTGGACCCTTAAGATTGGCATGTGTCAAGCAGAGAAGGGTTGAAACATTAAAGTTTCCTCTCGAGGACCTAACCCCTGCACCTCGTCACTGGCTCTCAGAACTCCTGGAGAAACTACACTCTTAGTTACTATTCTCATAACCAACCCCAGTTCTGGCCAAGATTGCAAAAGGGCCAAGGGATTCATATTTAAACAATGATGCAGACTTTTGCTACGTGAATTCCTTCTCTGCTGATCCCTTAACGGGCCTGGTGGTTGATCAACACACACCACCTCACCAGGCTGGCTGCATCTGCTCCCAGTGAGCACAGCCCATCAGACTTTCCTCCCGCGGGAGATTCCTAGGAGGGGCCTCTGGGCATCTTAAGGAAGAAAATGAAGTTTTAGGTGGGCACGTCGGGGAGAGGGACACTGAAAAGCAGAATAGTAGAGAACCTCAAGAAAGAGTTTCTGAGAAGCGACCTCTGTAAAATCTCCCTCAAATTTAGCATGTTGCTAAAGGGTGATCTCAGATCAGTGGGGAAAAGACGGTCTAGTCAGTAAGTGATACTGGGACACCTGGAGAGCCCTCTGCAAAAGAATTAAGGGTAAACTGCAAACGGATTCCAGATTTAAACATGGAAAATGTGACCATAAAAGTTCTGGAAGAAAACTTGAAAGAATTCCTTTGTAACTTCAAAGTAGAAAAGACCCTACTAGGACTTGCAATCCAGAAGTCAGAAATGAAAATCGATAAATCTAACGAAAAAAACTTCCACAGGGCAAAACATACCATAAGGCAACCAAAACAGGAAGATAACATGAAAAGTTGCCGACTCATGTCGGAGATAAAAGGTTAGTTTCCCCAATATATAAAGAGTATCTAAGAATTGATATGTAAAAGGTCAACAGTCCAACAGAAAAATGGGCAAAGGATATGAACAGAGATCACAGGAAAGGAAATGCAAACGGTTCCTTAAGTAAGAAGAGATGCTTGACTGTGTCACCCTGAGATGTAGCAAAAAGCCAGATACGTTTACAGGGGGAAATAGCATCCTCGAACACTGCTGGTTAAGAACATAAATGTCACAGCATCCATAGAGAGCAATTTGTCAAGGTTTACTGAAAATAACAAATGTGTGGGGCTACTGGGAACTTATCATACAGCTGTACTTCCACAGGTGTGAAATGACGTATTTACAAGCTCACAATGTACCTGTAATAACGGATGTCTATCAACAGGGAGTTGGAGAACTAAACCTTCACAAATCCTTACGACGGGAGCATTAATCAGCAATGAAAAATGATATATGGCTCTATTAATACCTATACTACCTACCTATCTAGACATGGAAAGACTCCCAAGACAATGTGAAGAGAAAAAGGTAATGTGTAAACAGTATGTACTGCGTGGTACCCTTTGTGTAAAAAGGGCAAAAATAAGAGCATATATTCACATTGCTTGTATTTGCATGAAGTGATTCTGCAAGGATGCTCACAAGACAGCAGGCGGGGGACTGGGCAAATGTAAAACGTGTGGGTGAAAGGGATGCTTTTCATTGAATGTCTTTTTTTTTAATCATGTGAATGAATCACTTAGTTTAAAAACTCCCTTGAGACCAACAGCTGGGTGTGTTTAATTGAGTTAAACAGGAAGGAGCCAACTTCAAAACAGAAGATGGAAACAGCCTGAGTCAGTAGTTAAGGCATTTAATTTAATTGGTGGTTTGGGAGCAAAATAGTTACCTTTTATCTTCAGTTTATTGTATGCTCAGAAGCCAGCCCGCCCAGACTTCTCAGCACACTGTAATCAGTCCGCTCCGCTCATTATATTAGAAGCCACGAAGTGAACTTCTCAGCTTCAGTGTTAAGAGGAAGACTTCAAACACCTTACATCCACCTCAGTAACAAAGCCCCCATAAAAAGCCTGCATTTACAGCTACTTGAAAATTTCCGCCTGGAACGTAAAATAAGGTGCACATCAAATCTCCTTTGTGGGGAGATAACAAGACGGTGACACCAAAATGCAGCAGCAAAAACATAAAACCTGAAGCCGCAGATCAGACTGAACCGTCTGAAGTCACCCTAATGCAAAGAGCCTTCGCCACCAGTCCCAGCAAGTCTGAGCAGCTTGGAGGTGGAGGCGTTCACTTGCTCACGAAACAGACACCCAATTCCTCTGCTCCACAAGTCTTGCTTTAAGAAAGTTTTCTTGGGACAAACCCAAATACAAAACTCCCTGAACCCCCAGATTCCATCTTCTCAATAAAACAGAGCCACTAGGCACCCTCCTACTCTTGAAAATGATAATCAAGTTCCCTCGAATGGGAATGTCCAGGCCTCTCACTGCTCTGTTTCCCTGTTGTGGCCACTGTCCCGTTTGCCAATATCTAACCTAAAAATGCCACATTCTAGATATGGTTCAGCAACATCGAGACTAAATTCCCTAAGCTCTGGGGCCTTGTGGGTTGGGATAGCTGCTCCCAACAGCACCACCCATGAAATTTATTTTGTTATAGTTTTCTTATCCTCTCTTCGAGGATGCTGAATTCCATCAGCACCTCCCACTTCCACATACACAGATACACACACACCCCACCATGTCGCCAGCTGTCCACTTGCTATGTGATTGGGACAGCAGAATGTGAAGTGCTGGGCTGAGAGTCAAGAGGCCCAGTTCTTTCATGCTTAGTTCTTTTCGAAGATTGCTGTGTGACCTAAGGCAGTCACTTAGCCTCTCTGAATCCATTTATTCATCTATAAAACATTCTCTAATATTCCATACAGCTCTTCTCTTCCAACTTGCTATCCACTGGGGTCTCCAGGCCACTCATTTCAGGACATATTGCATCCCTGCTAAGGTCAACAGTGTTTGATCTTTATGGCTCCTCCTCTATGAAAAACTAGTGAAATATCATAAAGAATCACTTCCTTTTAAAAGCAGGGCAGTATGTGGAGGAGGGTAGAGATTCAGCAAGCCTCGGCCCTGACCCTCTCGGGGTCTGTGATGGGTTGACTTCATGGCTGGAACTTCCGCGTTCATGGAATGACGTCAGCTATAACTGAGCAAGACAGCCTGAGGGCAATGGGCTCCCTCCCCAGACGACATGCCATTCTGGAGAAAATCTGGCCCTCATTAACAGCCACTTTGTCCTAAATCCTAAAGGGTTTTCTAGGATTAACCCAGGAATGTCATTTTGGAACACCATTTCCTTCCTCAGTCTGTATGTGACTAGTCCCTAATTCAAGTAATTATGGCTTTCCAGACCAAAATGCCCTTCCTAAATTTTTATCTGATTTTTGAGTCAGTTCACACGGTTCAAAATCCATAAAGTATAATGAAGTTTACACCCATGAGTCTCCCCCTGGACTCATGCCCCAACTACTCAGTTCCCATCTTCTCCGTCAACTGGAAATCAGTGCTCTTATCCTCTCACAAATCCCTCCAGGGTTTCTTGATGCATATACAAACGAATACAAATACAGACTTTTTTCATCTCTGTTTTTCATAAAAAATAATATATTATAAATACCATTTGCACCTTTCTTTTTACACTCAATTTATTTTGGTGTCTCTCGATATCAGAGAATTTCCTCATTCGCTTTCTGCAGCTGCCCTGTGTTTCATTATACGAATGCACCATAATGGATGTACCTGTCCCCTGTGAGCGGGCATTTGGGTTGCCTGAAATCTTTACAAACAACACTGCAATGAAAAATTTTGCACATGCATTATTTTGCACCTGTGGGAGTATCTGCAGAATACATTATGGGGTCAGAGTCCAAGCCTTTGTCATTTTGATGGACATTATTAGATTCTCTTATAGAGAGGCTGCCCATGCCCACCAGCAGTGCATGAGAACACCAGTCTCCTACAGGCTTGCCAAAGGAGCACGGCACCAAATTTTGGATTTGCTGCTAATCCAGTTAAGTGGAAAATGGTATCGCAGCTGGAGATTTGCTATTACATTGAGTGAGGCTGGGGATCTCTTCCTATGTCAAAGGGCCGTCTGTGTTTCATTTTCTGAGAACTGTGTTCATTGACCGTTTTTCTAATGAGCTGTTCCAAAATACCTCTTTCAGCAACAAGAGCTGCAGCTAGCACACTCTGCTGGTATCTGCTGACTTGCTATCTAGAACCATGAAGAACAAGAAATGCAGATACTGGTTGGATTCATCAGGCAGGAGCTGTTCCTTTCAAGTAAACAGAGGGGAGGAGCTGTGATTCATAGTAAGACTCTAATCTTCAGAGGTAGTTACAGTCTTTGTCTGCCAGCATGCTTTCCCTTTCCCACTATTCTGCAAACACCACCTCCCTTTCTAGCGGGACATCCAGTGTTCATCCACACCCCAAGAATGTGGGTGAAATGACTCAAGTCTGGCTGGACAATCTCTTCCCTCTGACTTCTGTGATAGGTCAAGGGATTGTCATGTGACCCATGCCTGCCCAATCAGAGCCCTCCTCAGGGACTTCTACCAGTTTCACACAGAAAGAAGTCCATTCTCTTTTTCCTGGTGTGACGAGCTCGAAGGACAATGCAGGGCAACTTTGCTATGAAAGGAAAACCCGCCTGGGAAGGATGCCAACCAAGGAAAGCAAAATGCAGAGGAAAAGGAAAAAGAGAGGGACTGAGTCTTCGGATCCCATTACATCTGGAACCAGGATTTACCCCCTTGTTCTTCCTGGTTCCACAGGCCAGTAAATGCCCTCTTTTGCTTAAGATGGAATTTCTGTCACTTGCAACCAAAGATGTTCTAATACAAAGACAAGACTTGCACTCACCTTCCTGAGGTTGATGTCCAGAGCGTCACAAACCGTGATGGCAAAGCGCTTGGACCTTTCAAAGCTCCCTTTCCCGACGCTGTGAGAACCGTCTATCAGAAACAGGATGTCCACCGCAGCCGAGCACCACATCACTAGGGGAGAGTGGGATAGAAAATGTGTGACAACCAGCTTCCCTGCTCTGATCCCAAGAGGACCTTACTACCAAATATGAGTGAAGGGGAAACAACCTTGTGGTGGTCCCAGCTCCTCTTAGCACAATGGTGGAAATAACACTGGGCAAAGTCCGGGCCAGAGGCAGCCCTCCCCTGCAGCAGAGAACATGCATCTACCACGGGCAGAACGCGCACAAACAGGCCCTTCCATGAAAATCTGTGTAATAAGGAAAGAGTCTAATTCAATAACACTAACTGAGATGCATGAGAGGAGTGGCTACTGGGCCAGTGAGGAACACCCAACAGCCTTGGTTCCTGCCCTCAGGGGTCACAACCTAGTCTGGGACACAGCCAGGCACCCTGGTACATAAGGTCGCATTACCCAAGAGGCTAAGTAATGGTAACCAGCACTGACTGCACCTTTCCTGTAAACCAGGTGCTACCTTAAACACTTTATACTTATTAATTTATTTAATTCTCATAACCACCTTGAGATTGATTACTATTTTTTAAATTTTTTCAACAGTTATATTGAGATACCATTCACAGATAAGTCACCCATTTACAATTCAACGGTTTTTAGTACATTCACAGATACAGCCTACCACCATCACAACCAGCTTTAGAACACTTTCCATCTCCTCGAAAAGAAACCCTGTACCCTTTAGCAATTAGCAACCCAGCCCCCCACCGCCACCCTTAGGCAGATTTACAGTGTGTCTTTCTGTTGGAGAGATGAGGAGAGCAGGGTACTGGGCAATTCGGTACCTTCCCTAAGGCCAAAGTACCAGGAAGTGGGGAAGCCAGGAATCGAAGCCAGGCCATCTGGCTCGAGTCCACACTCATCCGCTCGCCACAAAGATGCAAGAGAGGAAGTCAGAGAAGCACCAATGAGAAGGCGCCACCAGGAGCAGCGAGCTGGGGGGATGTAAGCAGAGAGGGAGGGAGGGACGTGCAGGGCGGGTCTGGCTTGGGCACTTTGAGGGGATGCCAAACAGGGCGGGCAGAAGAAGGAACATGGTGGCAGACAAGGCTGGCTGGGTAGATGGTGGTCACCTGACACAAGACCTTGAAGCAAGGACCAAGAAATTCAGCAACAAGGATTTACCTAGGGTTCTTACCCAGGAGAGGAACTTGGCCAGGCCCCTGTTTGGGGACAATGACTCTGACCACAGCATGAAAAAAAGACAGGAGTGGGGCAGAAACTGTCTGGAGTAACCTGGCTTCTCTTGGGTCTGTCACACGGAGGCCGAAGATGGCATATGAAGGGTGGAGTAAAACGTGGGCTTACTTTTGCTGGCGGCTGAAATCTTCCCAATGGTCTCCTGGCTTACGTGGACTTCCTGCAGAGGGAGGGATGGGGGCGCTAGGAGAGAAGACAGCAGAAGCAGTCACAACAAGGCAGAGAGGAGGGGAGTCGCCATCGCCACGCTGTGTGACCAGAACCAACGGGGAATAAGAGAGAAAACAGGAAGGTCGAGGAGTTTAATGACATTGTATCTTAAAAATTACCAGATGGACAACACAAACACCCCCCACCTTCCCAGACTTCTATCAAGGATCTTTACATTTAAGTTTTTTCTTTCTTTTTTTTTTTTAGGGGGTGGGGTATTGGAGATTAGACCGGGCCCTCATGCATGCTAAGCACATGCTCTACCACTGAGCTATACACCCACCCCCAAGTATCTCTGCATTTAAATTTGAGTTTTTTGAAGAGAAAAATTAAAAATACATACGGAGGGAATATAGACAGCCAGTGATTCTGATGAGTTTGGGGGTTTGTTTTTTACAATTCAGTGACACTTTTCCTTGCTTTAAAATATTTTCTTCTTTTGTCTTTTTCTGCTTTTGAAGCAAGCTCTCAATTACAAAACATCAAACTACTCTTGAAAATGCCAGCCACCGGCACAGGATGGAGAAGCCCACAAGCAAGGACAGAGAGCGGCAGGTGGCAAGAGGTGGGAAGTGATTCAAGCAGTGGTTACAAACGTTCACAGGAAGCTAAAGCTCTCCGGCTGGTTGGGCCCTAACGTTAGCACAGGTTAGACTGGCCACTACCTCGGGGAGCGGCTTCAGTGTGTTCGGGTTCAGAGTCTACACGCCAATACAACTTCTTCCAGTTACGAGCTCTTGGCTTGCACTGATCACAGGATGGCCAGAGGACACCAGACCAGTTTGTCAGTTTTTCAAAATGCTGTCACAGACCCAGGAGATGTACTGGGAGACTTCAGGAGCTCCACACTTCAGTGACAGCGTGTGACTGGGATTTCCTGGCTGGATACGTAGTTCGGCCAAAATCCAAATGCCATTAGTGAGCTTCAGGGATTGGTACGGCACGTCCTGCCCTTCCACGTTCCTCTCGGCAATAGTATAAACATTGTTGTTTTGCAACTTGCTGGTAACAGCGTCAGCATTTAAACGACATTCCTTTATCTGAAACTTTGTCCCTGGTGAGGCGTAAGAACTTGGGTGCCCCTCTGGGGTACAGTTTCTTGCCATACAAATTAACCTTGGATGTGAACAGACAATTTATAGAAGAAAGAGAATTCGCAGAAACGCACAAGGGTAATTTTTCAAACAGGTGACAAAACACTTTGATTCAAACAGTGGGATACTCTGTTAAATATGAAATTTAGATGATCAAGCTATAAATTTAAATGCAACTGGGGAAAGATTAAATTAGGAGAAACTTTTCCAGCAGTGGCACTGTATTGGTACATACACCCTTTTGGAAAACAACATGGCCAAATGAAGTAAGAGTCATAAAAAGGCTTATATCCTTAGACCTTGCAGTATCACACCCGGGAATTGATCCAAAGGAAAAACAACTTTAGAGACGGGAAAAGGCACATTGAGACACTCCCTTCGGTGTTATCTGTCTGAGGAATGCTGGTGATAACAAGTATCTGAAGAGACAGGACTATGAGTAAACACTGATATATTCCTTCAAAGCAATGAGTATGAACAAGGGCTGAAAAGTTTTGGGGTACGAAGTGCGTGAATACATTTTTTGTTCTTCTATACAGAACCCAGTAAAACTGTAATAATGGCCTGTGAGCAGTCAATAACTGTTTACAAAATAAACTTTCAGAACAGGTAATGCGTCCGGATTGCTGAACAGTGAGCCAACCGTGATGGAAGTCCTGAAGACAATGAGGGTGCCACTTGGAAGGATTATCTGAAAAGCCAACTGTGCGTGGTCGATGTCAGAAGTAAACGTGCAGATGCTCTAAAAATGTCAATGTCCAGGGGAAGGTACAGCTCAAGTCGTAGAATGCGTGCTTAGCATGCATGAGGTCTCGAGCTCAATCCTCAGTACCTCCTCTAAAAATCAATACACCTAATTACCTCCACCGCAAAATAAAAAAAAAATAATTCAGTAATAAAAATCTCAATGTCCTATGGGTAAGCGCAGAGGACACACAGTGAGGGTGGGCAGAGCCCAGGAGCAGGACAGCCCAGGAAGGGGGGCAGATGAAGGAATGTGAAATGGGGGGCTGCTGGGAGGTAAACGTGGGGGTGCAGGAGGCGGTGAGGGAGGGAGGTATCATACCACACAGGGAAGTTGGGTTCAATAGGACTTGCACCTGCCAGGACAGTGGGAGTGGTCCCAGCTCCACCCTGGTTTCTCTCCATTCATTAGTCTTCTTAATAGCAAACTAAACCAGTTCCTAGTTCTCCTCGGACCAAATTTTTGAGTTTGCCCACCTGACATGTCCTCCCCTCAATCTCTACTCACAGGGAAGATGGTTCAAGGCTAAAATGCTGAACCAGCAATTAGCTCCCCAGTCAAAAGCTATCAGACAAAAAATAAATCAGACCTTCTTTCATGAGGTCTGCGAGAACCTGCTACTGCCGTTTTGCCACCAGAGGCAAAAACAAGACGTAAACTACAATACGATAGTAGACTGAATTATAGGGAAAAAAAAGAAAACCAAAAACCTCCACTTCCATAAAACATGGCTGATGTTAGGACAGAGGCTGTGGCAACACCTCACCCCCAAAAAACCCAAACAAAAGAACACAAAAGTCACTCAATAACTCAGCAAATTGGTCTCCCAGAAAACTAGCTTTCTACATCACTGCATTCAGACATCACCAACATCTTGCCAACCTGGGGGGCCCCCACTGCAGCCCATCCCATAATGCGGTGCTGCTCCCATGAGCCCTGCTCCCCCAGAGGCTCCCCGAGGGCAGGAACACTTCCCCCTTCTACCTTCCTCCACAGAGCCCAGCCCAGCTCTCTGCACAGTTTGGCCAAATGAATTAAGAGCTATAAAAATGCTCACACCCTTTGACCCTGTATTCAAAGCAGGTAGGCACTAAGCTTTCCTGAACGTGCCTACAAAACACTGGCAAACAGCCCAGGAGCTGAGGAATCCCTAACGTCCTGTAGGGAGACACTGTTCCTTTAAAAATGTCTTACCAGCAAGTTCTCCAGCTGGAAACTGGCCAGCCACTGCCCTGGACGGGAGGGTGGGCTCTGTGACTGCAGATCACTCACTCCAGATGTGGCTCGGCTAATGTAACTCTGTACCACGTGCTTGGCTGTTATGGCAAGTGAGTGGGTACCTGGGGGACATCTTCACTTCTTCCCTGTGTAACCACCTCCGGATTCTGCAGAAGCTCCCCCTGAACAGGGAGCTGATGAATGTGTGGCTGCTGCTTCCTCTTCAAACCAAGTCAGCCCACCCCTCTGAGGACCACCTACCTGGGCTCCAGAACCTGAATCTGCTGGGGGGGACAGGCGGTGCTAAGGAGCTAGCAGGGTTGAGAATCACTAATCTAGTCAAACCCTCGCACTCTACAGGTAAGAGCACAGGCTTAGAGAGAGAACGCCTGTCCATTCCTGTCCGGGAAGGGTGGGCAGCCTGGGAGGGAGGAGACTCAGGTTTCCATCCCAGCTCACCTACTGATAGCTGTGTGATGCCAGGCAAGTCACACAGCCTCTCTGGGCCTCCCCTGCCCCATCTGTACAACCTAGGGGTGGTCAGATCAAGTGCTCTGTAAACTGAACAGACTACAGAGAGTGAAGTTCACAATGAGCTGAAACAGAACTGGGCCTGTGTCTGGGCCTCCAGGGACCACATTCAGGCCCTGTCCCCAAACAAGTCTCATTCCTCCCCAATCCCTTGGTCATGAAGCTGCTGTGTTACACTGTCCACCCACGGGACTTCAAGAGAGGGGAGAGGTGGGCTGAGCAACCACACCCTTCTTCCAGCCTCTCTCATCTCCGAGGCCCCGGAGAACAGGCAGGTGGTGACAGCAGCCAACCCCGCAGGGCGCGCACACCTGCTTGCGGAAACAAACCAGGCAGGAACCGCAGCCGAGCCTCAGGGACCACAGGACGATCCTGAGCCAGCCTCGGACAGCCGGCCACCCAGCCCGCTCATTCTTACTTGTCAGACAACAATCCACAGAACACACCCATTCCTTTCTACCATCTCTTATTTCAGAGAGGCTAGAACCCAGGAGGGCCAAAACGGCAAGTAAAAAGAACACTGATTTGCCCCATTATTCCTTCATGAATCTACTTCTTGAGCACCGAATGTGTGCCAAGCCCCAGCTGGGTGCCAAGGTTACACAGCATGCAGTGAATAAAGAGCAGGCAGGGTCTGTTCATCATGGAGCTTATGTCCATCTGGTGGAGAAGATGGACACTAATTTTTTTTAATTTGCACAGAAATAAATTCATATCTATGTTAAATGCTACACAGCAGAGGGACACAGGGCTACAGGAGGTTTCAGTAAAGGGATCTGTCCTGATCTGGGGGTCCAGGAGGAAGGGTGCTAGGGGATGAGCAGGAGTTCACCAGAGCAGCAGTGTTCGGGTGAGGCAGTGATCCAGGCAGAGGGGCTAACTGAGAACCCCTAGGGTGGCAGGGAGCAAGGGTGCTGAGCAGGCCTGGAGGGAATGTGGGCTGCAGCACAAAGGATGGAGGGAGGGGGCTCCAGAGGGGACACCAGGTGGCAGAGGGTCAGATCAGGCAGGGCTTCTTAAGAGTCATGGGACATTACTTTAAAATTTCAGGTAGGTGATGGGAGTGGAGAGGGGTCCAGACATGATGAGATTTGCATTTTGAAGTGGCTGGTATGTGAAGAACAGGATGGAGGGGGACCAGGTGAACCCAGGGAGACCGTTTGGGGGCTACTGCAGTGGTCCAAGCACCAGATGATGCGGCTTCAACAGGGCAGGTGGCCATGGAGTGGAGAAACACTGATGCACTCAAGAGACCCTTAGAAGTTAAAATCAACACGATGTGAGACAAACCAAATCAATACTTCACCCCTCCCACAAAGAAAACTTACCTCCAGCAAACAGGAAAAGGCAGAGGACTTCCAGCAACAGGAAAGAGGGCATCTTGACATAACTATAGGGTCAGGACAAGGGGAAAAAAAAAGCAGCAGTAATCAGCTCTGTGAGCTCCCCAAGTCACAGCCCCAAACAAGATGGCAACGGCTCAGCCTTTCCTGGGGCACAAATGTGACCCTAGAGGCTGGTCCTCGCCATGATAACCACAGCAGCCTGGAGAAGCCTCAAGTTCCCCCAAAGCCATGGAAGACTCTGCTCCAGTGTTTTTTTGTTTTTGTTTTTTTAACTTTTTTTTTGGTTTTCACTGCAAAGCTTTTTGTTGTCGTTATTTATTTATTCTTTATCGCAGTATAGTCAGTTTACAGTACTGTGTTAATTCCAGTGTATGGCATAATGATTCATATATATATATATATTCCTTTTCATATTCTTTTTCATTATAGGCTATTACAAGGTACTGAATATAGTTCCCCAGTACTATACAGTAGGCCCTTGTTGTTTATCTGTTTTATATATAGTAATTAGTATCTGCAAATCCTGAACTCCCAATTTATCCCTCCACCCACTGCCTTCCCCTCTGGTAACCACAAATTTGTTTTCTATGTCTGTGAGTCTGTTTCTGTTTTATAAATAAGCTCATTTGTATCATTAAAAAAAAAGATTCCACATATAAGTAATATCATATGGTATTTTTCTCTTTTTTGGCTTACTTCACTTAGTAGGACAACCCCAGGTCCATCCATTTTGCTGCAAATGGTATTATTTTATTCCTTTTTATGGCTGAGTAATATTCCATTACACAAATATTCCACAACCTCTTTATCCAGTCATATGTCAATGGACAT